GTTGACCTTAGTTTTTATCAACTGTGAAATGAGAGGATTGGATTCAGTGGTGTGAAAGTTGAAAAGAAATGGGTCCTCTAAATATATAAGGGTTCCTTGTGGGAACATATTCACTTAGAAAACCACACAATAACACTATATCCTATTGTGTTTTTATTTATTTAGTTGATTTCCCCCCCAATTACATTTTAATCGAAGTAGGAGTCATAGGCTGTGGTGTTTGACATCTCTAGATTAGATGATTTTTCAGAATGTTATGATCTCTCTAGCTTTGAACCTTGAATCAGAGCAGGTGGGGAAAACTTGGCAGTAGGAGATTGATCACTCAAAAGTGAAGTGAAACAGAGCTTGATTTTGTGGAGATGGGAGTTCAAATCATGCCACTTAATTTCTCTGAGCTTCAGCTTCTTCATCTGTCTTGTTCAGTTGTTTTTCAGTAATGTCTGACTCTTTGTGACTGACCCCATTTGGAGTTTTCTCGGCAAAGATATTGGAGTAGTTTGTCATTTGCTTCTCCAGCTCATTTTACAGATGAAGAAACTGAGGCAAACAGGGTTAAGGGACTTGCCTAGGGTCACACAGCTAGTAAGTGTCTGAGGCTGGATTTGAACTCAGGAAGAGGAGGCTCCAGGCCCAGCACTCTACACACTGTGCCAGCAAGGTGCCCTATTTGGTATGGGAGCAGGTTTTAAAATTCTATTCTTAAGTTTTTCAAGATCAGAAAGACTGTACACGTTGGTCTGTGATAATGCTCTGGCTCTAGTAGAATTTTTTAATTGAATTCACAAAATATTTTGAGGTCTATATTTGTAGTATGGGAATTTGTTGTCTGACAGTCCTTTTGAGTCCATCTTGGATCTAAGCCATGGCATAGGCTTCATCCAGAGGTAAATAGGATATTGATGACAAAAGCCCACTTCTACAGGAGCTGGGAGCTTTCGTGCACAAAGAAGATACCACTGAGGATGAGGTGACAATGGTGATGATAGCAAAAGATTGTGAGCTTCTGATGTACGTGACTCTTACCAATAGGTCATATCTTGCTAGGTATTTGGTAGGTGCTAAATTTTTACAGCCTACAGTCATGTGTTGCACAGTTTCCTTTCTCTATCTACATTGATCATTAAGTGGTTCATTAACTATAACCCTTCCTGTCATTTCTGGTCATGATGGCCCGGTCCTGAATTACCATCATAAACCACTCCATTTCTTTAAACAAGTCAACTTTGTAGAGTCATTTGATTCTGAGTCATTTGTTTGACACTTATTTGTTGACCTCTCTTTGGCTGGTTTCATGTAGCTGTTGCCCATGAAGGGCCTTTTGATTTCCATCTTGTATCTTAGCCATGCCATAGCCTCCATTCTGAAGAAACCATTTTTTAGCTACATTTGACAAATTCAATAGTGCATACCTGTTTTCATTCTTGACTATTGATTGGTGAAGTAATATCTGCTTATTCCAAATATTTCTGTGCTTTTTGGACTTCTTTATCATGTGCTGTAAGAAGGTCTATCTTCCTTCTTTTTGGTGAGGAGGTGTAAGCTACTTTTAAAAAGTAGTTATGCTACCCTAGAGCGATGGACCCCTTATTCTGTTAATATAGCATTATTATTTTTATTATCATAGCAGAAGAAATGAAGATTATAGGGGAATAAGTTGAGGAACAGACCTACACAACAGTCCACAGAACATAAGATAAGAAGGAATAAAAGGATAGTGTCGTCTTCAGGCTATTTCTGTATGAATCCCATTACAAAGATGAGAAGAATGAGATAACAGTGATAATGACAATAAATGAAAAGCCTGGGTCTAATAGAGGCTTCCTCTATCCAACATATGCATTGTTAAGGCACAATGAACTTTGGGATGAAAAGTAAATCTGCAATGGGCATGAGAGGACATAGGGTCCTTGACTTGAGTTTATTCATTGCTGTTGACAAGATTTCAGCCTTGTAGAAACAGAAACTGGAACCAGAACAGGACTTACAGGTCTTAAGGGGCAGGGAGATTCTATTCTAGTCCCTAATACCCCTGAGGGGCCATGTTCAGGAACTTATTGGTACATACTGGGACAGGTTGTTCTATTCCTTCTACCCAATGAGCTCTTGCAGGAAAGCACTCTTCACTGCCATGGTTATTCAGGTTTGCCTTCTTCTGATCCATTTAAAGACTGGGCAGGTCCAAAAGCTACAGCTAACTGGAGGAGAGGTAGAAAGAGGGTAAACAGGTGAACAAATGAGATGGTACAAGGGGGTTATGGCAAGGATATGAAGAGTCCAGCTTACTAACCTTCATTTTGTCATTGGACAACACTTTGTTATCCGTTATGGGTTTTTCCTCAAGTAGCTTTCTATGACAATAGTACTCACCTCCCAGGGTTGTTGTGAGGATTGAATGAAATAAAGTATGTCAAGTGCTTTGCAAACTTTAAAGTGCTACAGAGTGAGAAAGCTATCTCCTGCCATTGGTGAGCTGCCAGAACCTAACACACATATGAGGGCAAAAAGCAGTGGCCAGTGAGGATGCTAAGTGCTACTGACTAGGGCTTCTTCCACTACCCCCAAGAGAGCTGCTGAGTGTCTTATGCCCTATGGATGCGTGCGATAAAACTGCCTTTCTATTAACTGTCAGTGGTCTGTGTGTCTTCTTCATTGGGAAGCCTCCAACACCATCTTAACTCCTACAGCTACTCTGAGGGCTAAGGCAGAGGTTGGCAGTAATTTTCTGGTGTAGAACTCATGAGAGGGGGAAGAAACATTGCAAGTTGGGGTAAGAGGTAGAGGAAGCAGAAGGGACTGAGGAAAATGGGAAGAAAGAAATAAGGTATGTTGGGCTTAAAGAGGAAGCTAAAAGCAAAAACAATGAAAAAAAGTGGTAAGAATCTGGGATTTTTGAGGGGTGAAGTGGGAGAGAGCAGGCAGGGATGGACTTTTGTCCTGCCTCTGCCACCAGCTAGCTGTGTGACAATTGGTGACTAGGATCTTAAACTTAAAACTGGGAAGGGAAACACCTCTTGACCTCATCTTTTACATTTACAGCATGAAGGGATTCACTTAGATCATCTTCATAGCAGATTCTCTTCCCAAGATTCTGTGATTTTGATTTATTTTGTTGAGGGATTTGGGGCAGAGGGAAAACAGTGAGGAAATCTAGAGTGAAAAAAGAAAGTGGAAAGAAGGGTTGAGAGAGGTCATGTTAAGCAGGATTAAGAGACTAAAAAGCTGGAGAGGAAGAAAAAAGGAAAAAGGGAAGCAACAAGGAGGAAGAGAACAGGAGAAGTAAAGGATATTGGCAGAAACACCTTGAAAGAACAAGTTGATTGGGCTAAGAACTATAGGAATGGGAATAGAAATAGTTTTTATCTGTTTGTGAAAGATGAGAAAGAAGCCAGTGGAAAGCAACTTCATTAGCAGTCACCTGTGCCATTTGTGAGGTGCAGCCTGCTTAATTATGCAATGTGTCTTCCAGAGAGTTCTCTCAGACTTAACTTTTCAGACCCAGGGCTAACTACCAATTCCATGGGAACTTATTGGGAGATGTAGCAGAAGTATGAAAGGATAGGAGTGGGCAGGAGCCCTTTTCTGGGACCTGTGAACTGTCTGTCTTCCATATATTTGCATCTCCTAAGGGCCTAAGACAACATTCTGTCTACTGAATGACTGTTTTTTGGAGAGGTGGGGGACACTGAGGATGTGAAGAAGGACGGGTGGAGGAGAAGAACAAGAAGTAAGAAGGGGAAAGACTAAAGGGTTTAGGGCAGAAGGGAAGAATGAAGAATGGGAGTCTAGTAGAGGAGAGTGGAAAATGATCTGACCTGCAGCCATGGTAGAAATGAATGAAAAGGCTAACAATATGAGTGAAGTACGAATGGAGGGAAAGGAGACAGATGAAGATGAAGAGGAGTGGTCAGAGATGGAGGAATGAGTGGGAGAGGTTGGAGCACTAGTGAGGATGAGTGAGAGAAGGGGAGAAATAGGGAGAAAGAAAGAGAGACAGAGACAAAGAGAGACAGAGACACACACAGACACACAGAGACAGAGAGACAAAGACAGATAGACACAGAGAGACAGAGAAAGAGACACACACACAGAGAAAGAGAGAGAGACAAAGACAGAGAGAGACAGACATCCACACAGATAGGAACTGGATAAGTTCAATAATGAGACTGCATGATGGAGAGGCAGAATGTCCAAGCAGCTATGATATGATGGTAGATTAAGAGCTGAAAGGAACCTTAGAGTCTGTGTAGTCGAATCCTTTTATTTTATAGATGAGAAATCTGAGGCCCCAGAGACATTTAAGTAACTTGCCTTAAATCACACAGGTAGTAAGTGACAAAGGCCAGATAAGAACCCAGGTCCTCAGACTCCAAAGCCAGTGATCACTCCCGTGTACCACGCCACCTCTGGTAGTACCTTTCTAAGAAGAGACGCTAGTGAAGAAGAGAGGATGTTTGGTAAGGTAGGACAGGAGGACTGGGGACAGGAGCGTCCCTAGGGAGTTCTAGTGGTGGTGGTGGCGGGTAAACCAGACTTCACCGTCAGCATCACCACCCACGCATTTTCCATCCCAGCCGGAGGTTACGAGGAACAGGATCAGTCTTTAAGGAGAAAAGAAGCCGCTGAAGGGCAACCGGGGAGAAGAGGGGATGAAGTCTCTTCTCTCTTTGTAGTGGCGGTGGCCGAAACTGTTGGATTGGAGCCTCGGGGTTTTAAAAAATCACCGGGAGTGGATTCACTTTCTTCTCCCGCCTCGGGCTGCCTCCCACAATTTCTGCTCAGCCAAGACATCAGCCTGGAGGGTGGGTGACGTCCTGGCCAGGGCCACCTCTCTATTTGCCATACCCTCCCGACGCCTCTGACTGGGGGCGGGAGGGAGGGGTGTGTGTGTGGGTAAGATGGAGGGGCGGGGGACCTGGCAGAAGGGGCGGACACGGGGAGGTGTCTCTGTCCCTATAAATGGGCCTTTGGGGGCTGCGCTCTTCACACGCGGAGTGGTGGTGAGAAGCGCACCGTCGAGATGCCCACGGTATGCCAACTGAACTCGGTGTTGGCCGGCAGCGCGCTGCTGGTCGGCTTGGGGCTGTTTAACCTGCTGAGCTCCAGCCCCAGCCGATATGGCAAACACCTGTTGCCCTTGGCTACCCAGTTGCCTGCCCGCATAGCCTGGTTCCTCCAGGAGCTCCCCTCTTTCGTGGTGCCCGCTGGGCTGCTTGCCTGGCAGGGCCCGCTCTTCAGCCGGCCAGGGACCTTACTGCTTGGCCTCTTCTGCGGACATTACTTCCACAGGTACCCACTGCCTGCCCCTAGCTTTTCCACCTCTTTCCTCACCCTCCCTCAAGCAGCCCCAGGGTCCTGGGTTGCGTCTTCGCACTCGGGATTCCCCGGTTCCGGATGGCAAGTAGCCAAAGAGGGACGGAGGAGCTCAAGGAGGTGTCCTTTTCCATTCCCGGAGACTTGCGCGCTATCAGTTGGTCTATGGAGCTGAAGCATCCCAGGATAGAATGGAGCAGCCCTGGCCAGGCTGGCCAGAGGGCTGGAGAAGCAGTCCAGTGGCTCAGAAATGTCTGGCCCCGCCTTCCCACTCCTGGCTTCTCAGAAGGAGATAGGCACAGGAACCGGGAGTCCTCTTCTTAGGACTTTTCTCTCTTGGAAGCTCAGCCGGAGGCAAAGCTGGAAGGAAGGCTGTATGGATTGGGGGGGGGGGGGGGGGGGGGGGGGGGGAGGGAGGGGGGGGGGGGAAGGGAGGGGAGAAGAGAGACAGAGACAGAGAGACAGAGAGAGACAGAGACAGAGACAGAGAGATAGAAACAGAGACACAGAGACACAGAGAAAGGAACAGAGTGGGGGCGAGAGAGAGGTAGAGATAGAGAGACAGAGAGAAAGAGAGGCAGAGAGGGTTTGGCTAACGCTTTAATAGAAATGAAAACTGCCTGATGATGGCTCAGAGTCAGCCAGAGGCATTCTTCCCACTCGTAGCCTTCCTCACCGGTCTTTTTTAGAGAGTTTGGGTGGATGAGTGTATGGCTAAGAGAGACTCTTGGATCTGCCAGCCTAAGAGATTGTGAGCTGGAGTCTACCAAAAGGCACTCAGACTTGGCGGGACATAAGACGGGAAAAGACATACAGACCAGAGATTAAGGCTGGCCAGGGACCAGGACAGTGTTTCAGTGGTGGAGAGGAACTGCTGGCTGTAGTACCTTTGGACTTATTTTTTAGTGTCCATTAGTGGGAAATAGTGAGCTGTCACAAGCCAGGTCCACAGATAAGCTAAAATCGTCCCACACTCTTGTTCACACACAACTAGCACAAGTAAATGGGACTCTGTCCCAGAGGAAGGGAGACTTTCTCCCCAGTAGATATTCTACATCCCCTGTTCTATTGCCTTCCCACCCACCCCACTCCTTCCTCTCCTCCTGGTCTTCTGCCATCCAACAGACAACAACCATCTTGGGCCAATACCACTAAAGTCTTATCTCAGAGGTTGATCCAACACTTCTAAGTCAATATATTGTTGGTTGAATTCATGTGAATGTCAGAGTGGAAAAGCTTTTTGTCTCCACTCTCATATCTTTGGCATTTCATGGGCTCCATCTGGAAATAAACCACTTTCTGTTATAGTCAACAATCTAGGAGCGTAGAACTGTTGTCCAGCTTTACCCTTGCTTTGTGGAGTGAGATCTGTTTGTTCCCAAAGTAATTCTATAAACTTTTAACCTGTTTATCACATTCTCTGAAAACATCTATCATTTATTTCACTTTTCTCCTTATGAAAGGCGAGGGGGCATTCAGGTTTCTAAAATCACCCTGGGGTAATGGGTTCTTTATTCTGTTAGTATTTTATAGATTTTTATTTAGATAACTTCTAGAGCTGTGCCAAAAGTATAATAGCTGGGCAGCAAGATGACACAGTGAGCAGAGTGCTGGACTTGGAGTCAGGAAGATGAGTTCAAATTGTGCCTCAGAAACTTATTAGCTATGTGACCCCTTCCCATCCCCCCATCAATTAACCTACCTCAGTTTCCTCATCTGTAAAATAGGGATAATAATAGCACCTACTTTCCAGGGCTGTTAGAAGATCAAATGAGGTAACATATGAAGTACTTTGAAAGCTTTAAAGCTCTATATAAGCACTAGTCATTATTATTGTTGTTGTTTTTCATATTATTATATCAAGACTCGTATTGCATAGGTATTAATTGCTCTAAATGTCTTTTTCCCAGGATCATGTCATTTAGTATCTTAAAATGTACAACCTTAGCTTTCTCCATGATAGTCAATCTTATGTTCAATTGGTTTTTCCTGAAGAAGACTGATGTATTTCTAAGTATTGCCTTTGTCCTTTGGTTCAATTTGATCCTTGGATTTAAGCCCAAAGATCTTAGTCTTTATTCTTCCTTGGTACACATGAATAATTTTACCTTTATTGAGTTCAGATGGCATTCTGATATTACTGGAGAAAGTTTCCATGAGATGAAAGATCTGCTTTAATATGATTTAATTAATGGAGGGCAGCTAGGTGGTGCAGTGGATAGAGCACCAGCCCTGGAGTCCAGAGGACCTGAGTTCAAATCAAGCCTCAGACACTAGCTAGGCAAGTCACATAAAACCCATTGTCTCTAAAAAAAAGATTTAATTAAGGTTATTATTATTACTATTATTATTTACATAGTAGTAGTGTGTATTTTCTTGTAAAAATTCTTTCTTAACTCTATAAGACTCCATGTAAGTTTCACCATATTTTATTTTTTCTTCACATTAATCACTTTGTATGGTATGATATTATTCAATCATGTTCCTATGTCACAATTTGTCAAAGCTTTGTCCAATCACTAGACGTATGGCTTATTTCTAGTTTTTTCCTATTATGAATAATGGTGCTAGAAATATTTTTATATCGATAGATAATGTATTTTCTTGTCTGTTAATGCCAAAAAGATTTATAAGGACATCTTTCCTCTTAAAGTAAATAAAGATCAATATGGAGAGGGTGGTTCTCATTTTTATCTTTGTAACCAGGAGCCTGACACATAGTAGGTGCTTAATAAATGCTTATTGAATTCATTTGATAATAGTGTAACTTCAAATCACTGGTTTGACTTTTTTAGGGAAGAGGAAATTAAATGACCAAAGAAATATTGTCAAATTTTCAAGAAACCTAAGAAAATGAACCATAAAGGTTATTAAATGATCTAATTGAATCAACACTTATTAGGTGCCTACTATGTATAGCACTATGTTGTTGTTCCCAAAGAGGACCAATGACATGAGGAAGGTGATGGCTTGACTTGCAAGTGAATTGGACTTAAGTGAGGAAGAGCTGTGAAGTCATCAGCCCCACTTTCTCCTCCAGAGTCATCAGAGTTCAGTGGCAAGACATAGGTCAGGATGACTGGTGATGGTCCAGGATGCACTGGGAGACCTTAGCCTTTTTAAGCTAAGATCTTTTCCATGTCTCAGTTTATTTGAGGTGATACCTACTCAGTAGTTAAAGACTAGGTAAGAATCAAGGTAAAAAGGGCTAGGTGGCTCTATGGATAGAGTTCCAGCCCTGGAGTCAGGAGGACCTGAGTTCAAATACAGCTTCAGACACATAATACTTGTTAGCTGTGTGACCCTGGGCAAGTCACGTAACCCCATTGCCTGGCCAAAAAAAAAAATTGAGGTAAAAGATAGTCTACTTTGCCTTCACAAAACAATCCAGTACTGTGTTAGATGCTGGGAAGAGCACCATATATGAACTCACTTGAGTTTCACCACAATCCTATGAAGTAGTTCTTACAGATGTTATTATTCCCATTTCATAGATGAAGAAACAGAAGCTAGAAAGGTTAAGTGACTTTGAACGAGATCACACAGATAATAAAAGGGAAAGTTGGGAGAAAGAAAATGTATCAGTTAATCACTGCGTATATATATATACACACATACATATATACATATTCACACAAACATACATGTAAACATATATACTTACATATACTTAGATATAATCATACTCATGTATAGACATACATTCATATGAATGTATGTCTATACATGAGTATGATTTTATATATATCCTTCTTTAACCCATTCTCGATACGAGCAGGGTTCCAGAACTATCACCCTCCTCCCCCATCTAATTCCTCTGTGTCAGTTCTTCTTCTCACACCTCATTTGTATAAGATAATTACTCTTTTTACCTTTTCCTAAATGGTTTTACTTTACTTTACTCGAGTCTACCCCAATCTTTCTTTTGAACTACTCTATTACTAATAACAATCTTAGACATATGTTTTACATCTCCTCTTATAAAAAGTAAACTGTCCTTATTGAGTCCCTTGTAATTTTTCTTTCATATGTACCTTATATTTCTTGGATCTTATATATCAAATTTTCTATTAAGTGTAGGGTTTTTTTTGCAACAAAATTCTGAAAGCCTGGCAATTCATTGAATGTCCATTTTTTTCAGTCAGGATTATGCTTAACTTTGCTGGATATGATATTTTTGGCTGTAACCCCAGTTCTTTTACTCTTCCATATTCCAAGAACTGCAGTCTTTTATTTTATTTTATTTTCTTAGGCAATTGGGGTTAAGTGACTTATCCAGGGTCACACAGCTAGTAAGTGTCAAGTGTTTGGTCTGAGGCCAGATTTGAACTCAGATCCTCCTGACTTCAGGGCTGGTGCTCTATCCACTGTGCCACCTAGCTGCCCCTTAACTGCACTCTTTTATTATCACCACTGTTAGGTCTTGTGTGATTCTAATTGTTGCACCACCATATTTGAATTGATTTTTTTTCTTATTGCACATATTTTCTCCTTGAGCTGGGGGTTTCAGAATTTGATTGTAATATTCTAATAGGTTTTCCTCATAGGATCTCTTTCAGGTGGTGATTGGTGAATTTTTTTCTATTTTTACTTTCTCCTTTTGTTCTAATTCTTCAGGACAATTTTCTTTAATTATTTCTTGTATTATTGTATCAAGATTCTTTTTTTATTGTAATTTTCAGATAGTCTGAATATTCTTATGTTTTTTCTTTGTGATGTGTTTTCCAGATCAGTTGTTTTTCTTGTCAGATGCTTCACATTTTCTTCTATTTTTTTATTCTTCATATTTTGTTTTATTATTTCTTAGCACCAAATCCTAATTTTCAAGGAGTTGTTTTCTTCCTTAAGATCCTGAATCTCCTTTTCCAGTTGGTTGACTTTCTTTCTATAATCTTCTTATTTTTCTTGGATTGTTCTTATTTCTTTTAATTTTTTCCCCCTCAGTCTCTCTCATTTGATTTTTAAAATCTTTTTAA